ATTTTATATGTTGGTAGTTTGAATCAGTGATTCAGCCCACATAGTAGTCGATTCAGTTGTGCAAGCATTCTATGGACCAGTGGACCATGGAGCCTCTACCTTGCCATGGTTTTGTGGCGTGGCCGTAGGTGCGTACCTCGAGCAGTATCCCAAATACCCAAGCATGCGCCTCGTTACGTTTACTGTAAACTGTGAGCCTCGATCCATTAGTATGCACTGAACTCGGCGATGACTTAATATGTACCATTCATCGAAGGTGTGTAACATAGCATACAAAATTGTTGTCGCTTTCAGATCGCGGATCGGATACTCTTTGGCCATACTAGAAAAATCGTCTATGATTGATACAGAGTGGGTGTTGGATCCTATCGACGTTACGAACGGTCCTATTATGTCCACGAAGACTAACTAGAGAGGCTCTGTAGCAGTTTCGTGCTGTCGTTCCTTGTTTGTATTCTTATTCTTCTTCTTAGCAATAGTGCATGCTTTGCATCGTTCCTCTGGTTGCCTTATATAGGGTAAATATTTTGGGACGTAGCTGGGGTGCGCGAGCCTGTTGTGCCATGAAATCTGGTTGGCTTTCTCCAGCGATGGTTCCACTGTAGTCATAGCTATGTCGTCGATGTGCACACAATATATTATATGTTTTTCATGTACTGTTATGGTTCTGAATCGTGGTAGTATTATGTACATCATGTTGTTGGTGAATTCAAATGAGTAGTGTCGCGCTGAGAGTAGGCTGATACTTAGTAGTGCAGTTTTAAATGTCGTATCAATGAGTGCGTCCCCCAAGTTACCTAGCTGAGCCACATACTTCGGATAAATGATTGTACTATCAGCTACTTCGAGCGCATACCGGTCATTAATGCGCATGTTGCTGACGAGATGATGTTTGTGGTACTCATAGGGAAGTACGTGTATGGTGGCGCAACTATCGCAAGCTAGTCAGTATCCACCTCTGGAATCTCTATCTGACTGATCCTTCACCTCCTTGTTGTCGATTGTAGGGTTAATTGTAGAGTATGCAATCTGTCTGTTTGCAGGTAACTGGTCATCAGATACTTGTGCTAAAATAGCTTTGTCCTGGCTGCCTTCATGAGCTTGGCGTCGATTGCTCTGGGATCTATATGTTCTGTCAATGTCTTGTGAATGTTGGATATCTCGTGAATATCTACCATCGTCGCAGTCGCGTCGATTGTACCTATCTACTCGGTAGTCCTGTCGGTCCTGATCATTGTGATTATCGTAGCGATATTGGTAGCTGTTGTTTCTGTTGTACTGTTCCACACGAGTACGGTAGTCACGATTCGAATCAGGTCGGCGATGCTTGTCATTGTTCTTGGACTTAAATCTGTAGTCTCTCATGTCATGACGAGGACCAGATTTGTCAATCCGTCGATCGTAACGTTTACGACCGTCGTGGTCACGACCCTGATAATGTGGGTTACCAGCAACGCATGATTTGATTAGCGCTTGTAGCTTACGGCATAGCCAGATGGAATGCCCACGATTATTGCAAAATGCACAATTTCCTGTCGATATAGCTGAATGCACACCATGCACAATGGTTGATGTGTCACTTTCATCCGGATCCAATGCGATGAGGTACGTGTTGAGCTCATCATACGACATGGCCATCATAGCGGGTGTCTTCAACGTACTCTTAAACAGTCTGATTATCGTCGTTTACAGCCTGTCGTAGAATAGCACATAGGCTGTTGTTAAACTTCGTATCTCCGGCGTTTTTGAATTTCACAAATGCCGTGGTAAGATTCGTTCCGTTCTTGCGTGATGCGGTTCAGTTTTCCTTCTAATGTCTGGATATCATCTTCGGTCAGGGCTTTAAACTTGCGTTTCAGTGCGGCAAAAACTTCCCACGGCTTATCAACGAATTGGCTGATCTCCGTTTGCAACAGTGGAGATAAGGTGCGGTTGATAATCCGATATGCCTCAGCGATTCCCTTGGGTGTCCATCGGTTGCCTCTAGATAGGGTTGGATCGGTCAATATTGTTGAAATTCCTTCACAATTCACGGATAGAATTGTTTGGGTTTTCCAAGGTAGCCAGTCAAGCTTTGATTCGAGAATAGTGGTGGTCTTAATATCCTTAGAGTTCACAGTAGGCATATTGATAGCGCGAGATCAGAGTGACCTGATAAGTTGTTAGAGTACAATGTAGTAGACTTTAAATAAAGTACAAATGTATGTATTTATTTCTGACCTCACCTTTGGTTTTATACCTAAGGTGTTTGTGCTAGTGTTCAGCCGCTTGGGCTGACCAGGGTAAAAGCTCATATGGTCAGCATGAGAAACCTTATGCGGAACACTTTAACACTTCGATGCCTTTATATTTGAACTACTCTGCAACTAAATCTCACGCTGATCACATGATGCCTTTCCGCATAGGCTGTGACTCACATAGAACCGCAGCTATTATTAATATGTTGTGGTTGACGGGCTTAATACACTCTCGGGAATCGGTTGAAAAACTAAATCTGTTCTCGGAAGTCGGTTAAGTAATAACTCAACTCTTGAGAGTAATTTGAGCAACTTGATTAGCTCTCGGGAGTGAGCTAACTC